GGGCATTTGTAAAAAGTTTTGACATATCATTCCTCACATTTTCTATTATGTTTGCATCCGGACCCTGGGCAGGCCACATCACCCTGCGAATGTCCTGTTGGTCAAACCAATCATCAACTGCTCTGTTTCGTGACAAGGAACATTGTCATCCTGGTGAACAAGTGGATAATTCCTGTCACCAAACATGTTAGTAATAGATGGTAGCAAGCCTGGCTCCAAAACATCGATATATTTCTAGTGATTTATGTTTCCATTAACCACTATCAATTCGCCCAATGCAAGCCATGGATGCTGATGCAGCCCCACACCATGATGAATATGCTGCTCCGAGTTCGAAAATTCAGTGCATGTGGTTCAAATGCTGTCATCAGAGGTCAGACCAAAGCGACACTCATCAGAAAAAATATGTAGGACCAATTGTCATGAACTGTCCAGTTCCAGATCCTGTTGACCTTAGTTTACTCTACGTTGCCTGTTTTGTAACGATATAAGAGGTTTCAGTCTTGCTACCCTGCTGTACACTCTCTGAGCATGTAACCGACGCCTAGCAATTTCCACAGACACATTCTTGTGTGTGAAATTGTTCCACTTTGTTGTCAACTGACAAGCAGTTTCGAACTTTGACAACCTGGACATCAAAATCAGCCGTCGGTCTTCACGACCAGTATTTTTTCTTGGACGACCCATCAGAGGCAATTTGTCTCTTGATCCAGTGTTTCTATACCGAGACCAGACCTTCAGCACGGTTTTGACTGAACAATTCAATTGTATCCCTATTCTGACATTGCTTATATTCCGCCTCTTCAGGTTAATAACTTGCACCTATAACCGTTAGATAATTGCCTGTATCTTGTCATATTGGAGGAAGACAGGAATAACATTTGCTGTACATGTATAAGACCAACAATACAATTCCATGGTATAGCGGTTTTATACTCATTAGTCACATTATAAGTAGACCAGGCATTATAAGTACCCAAGATCTGCCTACTTTTATTACTCTGAGTTAGGGGGTGACACTTCTTTTGTCCAGTGTGTGTTTATATTTATTGCTTACCTTTAAATTATTCAGTATCTTTTAGTGGATGGTCACTTAGGATAAATCTAGATGATATATTTAAGCATGTTGTTCGGGTTCCACAGACTCAACAATGCTCATCTTGGAATTTATTTTACAACCTTATATTACCCTTTTATTATCTTCTGTCACCAAATTAGCGCCAGAAAATTACTTTTGAGGCCCCAGAATAGTACCATTTTACCTAATACAAGGGTCACACAATTCAAAGATTATAAAATTACACCAAAATATTAAAATAGCGGCATGCAACCAAAACTTGGTTTTGATAAAAAATAATGGCTAACAATTTTCCTTATACGGTCAAAGATGTATTCTTTTGCTTTAATTCAGCCATTTTGTTTGCTGACACTTGTTTAATAGATAGGGCGAAATCCTTAAAATATGTTAAAGCACATAGTTTTGTACTAATTAGATTACTAATTGTACATACAAACTGCAGGCCCAAGTGACGACTGAATCCTATATTTTGTTGGAGGCTTATAAAAGTTTCTATTTACATTTTATGAAACCGAAAATGCATTCTGTACCAGGATATAATCAAAAATGACGTATGGCACGCTTATGAAGGTGTGATAGGTTCAAAATGGTGAATAATGCTCAATTTCAAAATCGGATGAGCGCCATCTTGAATTTGAAGCACAAATTTTATGAAACTGATAACGTATTCTGCACCAGAAAATAATATAAAATGATGTATTATTCATTTACAAAGATGTAATACATTTAGTTTCAAAATAGCGAATTATGCCTAATTTCAAAATAGTTTTTGGCGGCCATCTATGATTTGAGGGATAAAACGGCCACAAATGGCCTCCATAATGGTAAAAATGAGTTTTTTTGCTCATAATATAGTCCAATAGCGATGGTATATAACAAAAAATTGCATTGAGATTTATTTGAATACTGGTTATCAATATCCATGGTTTTGCAGCGTTCACACATATCTTGGTAGGCGCTTAAAATACCCTCTTTGTCCCTTCAAATCACCTTCTATCACCAAAACAATATCAAAAATGACTTTTGCACCCCCAAAATAGTAGGAATCAATATATATATATATATATATCAAGTATATATAGACCAAACGCTTCAAAATTCAACATAAAATAGCATTTTTTTTTCAAAATGGCGGGTGGCGACCATCTTGAATTTAAGGCACAAAATGGCCACCAATTGCTTCCAAATTATCAAAAATGGGTTCCTTGTCCCTAATTTAGTCAGGTTTGATAATCTATACATGTTTCTAGGCCAAATATTAATGGAAATATGAAGTATTATATATTTTGGCACCTAATTTGCATAATTATGCTAATTTATGCATCGATAGAGCGTGTCTCTTTGGATAAAAAATTTTCTTTTGGCCCAAGGAACATTTATGCCAAGTTAGACATTTGTACTATAAAATGCAAGCCTACTAAAATCAAGATCGAGCTGGCAAACCTGAAATCTAGAACCTAGGGTAGCTATGTAAAGCATGTGCAACGTGTGTAAGTCACTGTGTTATAATGGAGAAGTAGTACTCCTCAAGATTCGATTTCCAGCCTAAATATTCATCACAATTTTGGTTTTTGTCGAAGCCGAATTCAGTACGGAATGTCCATGTTTTGGAATATGTTGAGTTATTAGTTGTTAATGCCCGCGAGACTATAATTTGGGTTTAACTGTAGGTGCAAGTAGGCCTTTATTTTTGCTGTGCTGTGCTTAGAGGAAATTGTAAGATCTCAACGTTGTGTTGACCATCCCACTATTTATTATCATGGGTATAAGCCATGTTTATAAAAACACTTGTTCACATTATCTTCACCTACTCGAAACATAAATTAAACTCGTCACAATCGCATATCAAATGGATCGCACTTATTGCGCTAGGAATGCGGCGCAGCTACCGCAATCAAAGAACTCCCAATATCTTGTACAGGTGACGTTATGCTCACCGCGATAATAATAGCACAGACCAGAATGATTTCATAGGCGTAAAAGCGTAACAACAATACATGAAGTAAAAAAAAAAAAAATTGAAACTCCCAGTTAAATTAATTTTTGCTTTAAAAAGAACAATATGTGCACATTGCCTCTATGGAAATGTGCTGTCACCGTTCTGTCACCGTCCTAGATGACTTCCGGAGTCCCAGCCTGGATGACACCTTGCTATCATGCTACGTGAATTATATATGCTTAGCTGTTAAATAACAAAATCTTCATTTATTCATTGTCAAGAAAGATCGACATGGCGACAACGTGTAACCTGAATCCTTTTAATTCAATTTTCTTCTGATGTATGAACTTCAATGTCTAACTTTCTTAAATTAACAAGAATCTGTACTTACACACTGTAAAAACAGTGTTTAGCATTTAAATACACACAAGATACGCTAAGCACCTATACGCATTTAGAAATATGTGTAAAAGTTAAGCACGTATAGCTTTTCAAGCGTTTAACAGAAGAAAAAGCTAGACACGCTGGCAGTGTTACACGTTTAGCTATGTGTGTAGCTTCACCGGCATATGAATCTATAATAAGTCTATCACAAGCTAAGCACATTGGCTAAGCACTTCCCCTGCTAAGCGCGTGAGGCTGCTAAACATAAGGAGCTGCTATAGGTGTGGAACTGTTAAGGTAGATCGGTCGTTACATGTTCTAACGTTCGAATTTTTAACAATATTTTTTTTTTGGTTTGAAGAGACACCCAAGTACATTAAAAATTTGCAAAAAAAAAAAAAAATTGGGGGTCCCGACCAGACAGGAGAACTACGCTCAAATGTGTTACACCCTGCATATCGCACTAGTCCCCATTCAAATCAATGGAAAAATTGGTGTTTTTTCACTAAAGCATTATTTTTATGGTTTTTTAACGTTCGAATTTTTAATTTTTAATTTTTTTTATGTAAAGAGGCATCCAAGTACATTTAAATTTTGCAAAAAAAAAAAAAAAAAAAAAAAAAAAAAAAAAAAAAATTGGGGTCACCGACCAAATAAGAGAACTACGCCAAGTTGAAGTGAATTACACCCTGCGTGACGCACTAGTCCCCCTTCAAATCAATGGGAAAATGGGCGTTTATTCACTAAAAAGTTATTTTTTATGATTTTCAAACGTTTGAACTTTTATTTTTGGTTTGTGTGGAGAAACATCCAAGTACATTTAAAACTTTCATTATGTTTTTAAAACAGTTTAAGTGAGTATACTAGCTACATGTATTTTCAGATTTGTCATACTGATGCGAAGGTGTAAGTCATTAACTTCACAACAGATTTATTGAAGAGGGAAATATGTCATGCATGTGAAAATAGTTTATTGCCGTTGTTATTTATTTATGTAATGAATATAATATGAATGTTACTTTTTGCCCCCCCCCCCTTAAAAATGGAAATCAGCACACAGAAAAATCTCATCAATGAGATGTGCCAATATTCGTGCGATTTCAGCCGAATCCCACGAATATCCGTAACACTATCGCACCTGTATCGTAACTGAATCGTAGAGCGTGTCGAAATAGACCAGCAAATTGGCAAAACCTCACGAACCTTCACGAATCCTGAAATTTGTTAATTCCTGGCGTTTCGTGAGATTCGTGGTCTGTGTGAAATAGGAGCATTACCAAACTGCAGCGTTCAGTACCTTTTTTTGGAACCCCACGCCAAAGGTTAGGGTAGGGGGAGGTCAGCTTTGCATCCGCGGGCCCCCCCCCCCCCCCCCACCACCCATCAAATAATCCTGGATCAAATAATCCTGGATCCCTGGATGAAAGATAGCAAGGGAGCATTACCCATAAAATTCATTCAGCGCACAAACTCTAGTGTAAAACTGTAAAACCCACGTTTCATGCGCAAGATGAAAAAATAATGACACATATATCATAAAGCAATCCTTTTCTGGTGAAATCTTCTTACAGAGCCGTCTTTCTACTACTCCATCGAACCATGGATCTCATTCGTGCTGTGTTAAGTGATGATACTGGCGAGGTGAAGCGACTGCTGCGTGATGGGAATTATGATGTAAACGGAAAGTATTTGGTACGTACTGTTTCTGTATTTCACTACATTGTAGATTATGTCTATCGATCATAAGGATGCATTCATAAATACACGTATATCTTTTCTATAAATACATATTCAGGTTCTATAAATAACTATATGTTCTACCTCTAGGCTTCACTGTCACTTCTTTTCACAAGACACGCAATAGATCATTTTTTTAATGGGGCCTGGCTTCCTGGCTCAAATGTAAAATAGGTTGGAGACCATAGATTTGATTTTAGGGTGAAGATCTTTCACAGTTTTCCATAGTAGTAGCTTCACATAGAAATCGCAAAATTTTCTGTAGTCTAGGTGTTCCTTATTATTATTATTATTATTATTATTTGATAGCATTTCCATCAAATGTATTTTGATGGTGTCCTAGTTTCGTATAGGAAATCTGGCATGCGTCGAAGCAGTGGGATCATCAATATTTCCGTTTTGCTGTTTTTACATGTATCATTAATTTGTTCTTTGCAATCCAAACCCTGCGGTTAGAAATACTGCTTTTCATTTTCAGTAAAAAAAAAATCACAATTCTTGATGTCACAGGGAGTACACAGCTGAGTATCGTCAGCGTATATGTGTGAAAGTGAATTCTGTGTAATCAATGACCATCAGGTATCTGGTGGAGCATAAACATCGCGGTCTTTCCCGAAATATGCTCTCAATGAACTAATAACAACAGCATTTATCCATTTTTTGCGCATCCTTTTGTCTTGCTTTTCCTTATAATCTTCTTCCTACGCAGGAAACAAACCTTATCCTCCAGAAAGCAATTTTACTAGCCCAGGCAATCCACTCCGACACCTGAGACGTATGTATTCTTGTACAGTTGGAATTTCAAACGATTCCACACCTTTAGCAACGCTTGTTATGCATGTATCTTGTAGGATCCATTGTTATATGAGAGGAAGTCCTCCACGATAGAGTCTTCTTCGATATGCCACTCGTCTGTACATATAAGCTTTAACCTAGGATGTGACCCAAGACCCCAATCGGGGTCAATTTAACCCTAGCCGTCATAACTAGTCTCAGATTATCTAAAGCATTTGCAGTGGAGAGCGTGGAAGGCGGGTGACGCACTTCCGCACTGCTTTTGATTAAGCTACTCTTAAAACCGGTCGTGCGCGCTTCTAGGAGCGGTTTGCGTGCAAAAAAAAATGGCCAAGTAGAAAGATACACGCACCTGGAACGTACTTTTTTGGTGGACGTAAACACGACGCAAAGCACGCAGCCCGAAAACTGGGCCAGTTTTTCGCTACGACCTGTCTGCGACAATTAGAACGCCTGGAGCACGCTCGCAGCACGCAAGACAAAAGTACTGAGTAAGTGCGCTAGGCGTGCGTGTAACGCATGAAAGGCATGCAAAAATTCCGGGGTATTTTACCACGAAGCCGATGTACTAACCATGCAAGAGACTCGTACGTTCAACTTGCTTTCAATGTACGTGTTAACAAAAAAGCGCGCTTCCTCCGTGGTGCGTTTTGAGTTTTGAGTGCTTCTACCGTACTTGTGAATTGCGTCACACAAAGACCACGCACTTGACCAGCACGATATAAGTGCGTCACAAGTACTTGCTTATAGGTGCATCGTGCGCCTATATCACAGCTGATACGAACAGTCTGCTCTCAGTTTGGAATTGCCGTTTTGAAAGCCAAAACAGTGAACGACAGGAGACTCGGTGCTCCCTTTTATATTATTTTGATTATCCCCGTGTTCCACCAATTTGACGCACTAGTGTCGTTCTTAACACTTCCGTGCTCATTACGTTTCTCTTACGTTTCTCTAACTTCGTAAGTACGATTTCTGAAAACGTACGCCTCACTTGCAATACACGTACGATTATCTCACTCACTGTGTGCGACACAAGTACAAATCGTACGTGCTCCTTACTTCTTCCTACCTTCAAAAATAGGCGTACAGACCTCTTGCGTTTAGAGCACGACACACCTAATCATAAAGGACTTAATACTTACGTCCGCTGCGATTAAATGTTCATCCTCCGACAACGCTACGCCTGACAAGAACTCCGAGGACTCACGATCTCTAAGCACGCACGACGGGTTGTAAGAGAGACTTTAAGTTTGGAAGTTTTGAGGGCGTGCGCCGTACTAACACGCTGGTGGCACTTGCTTCTTCATTGCTTACGCGTGCGTCTTAGATCAAAGTTTTTCTTCACACGGTAATCCCCCAGTCTCATTTGCGGACATCTTGCAAACTTCTTGATAGAGGAGCAGATTATCCTAATAGTTTTTTTTTTCTTTTCTTTTTTTTTATTTAGCCTATATGCAAACGAACCTTGTGGTCAAAGCGCACCCTCCTTTTGACTGTTACAGAGTATTCGTAGTAGAATTCGTGGTATTTATGTCCTAAATACTAACGAACTTTACATGTACCTACAAGTTATATCACCCTGTGCGGAACCTTGGTAGGCTACATGTATACCGCTATTCTTATTAGTAGCTATGGGCTGTTAGTAATTACGCCCAAACAAATAACGCAAATAATGGTCAGAGAGTATTAATAACAGATGATGACCATAAGCTGACCGCAGAAGATGGAGTCGGAATAATACTTAATTTTGCAAAGATTACTAAAATAGTGAGATGATATGATAATAATCCAGTAAATAAACCTAAGTATGATATGATATTGTTTTGATTTCACCAGTATGGATTGACTCCTCTGCACCTGGCAGCGCAGACAAGCAATGCAGATATGGTGAAACTATTCTTGGACAGCGGGGCTGACGTTAATGCCGAGGACTGGGTAAGACGCATGCGTGTGACTTAAGCCCCCATTTCCGTTCGTGCGATATTTATGTATATGTAAAATTAATTATATTAATATCGATATAGGAGTTTCAGATTATGCAGTTTAATGCTACAGATAATCCAACCAGTGTATTTTCCACAAAAACCGCCTAGAATATTCCATTGTTTTGTGTATGTATGGTGTAGGCCTATTGTGTTAGCGAGTTGGGTAATACGGGTATGTATTTTTCCTTTCTTTAACTATGATGTATTCAAACCAGGGACAGATATTTAACTTTTTTCATTTCACCGTTTTTGAAGTCAGTTGCCAGTTAGAACAAATCGTCTATTTTTGATATAGGCTACTAGTACTTGAGACACATATTGCAATACATGCACAACATGCATAGGCCACATACTCGGCATTTTGTTAAACAGATGGTGTGTTAAGACAAGTATTATTCAAATTAACATAATAATTATTTTTTGAATCTCTTTTTTTATTTATGACATGTATTCAGAACGTTTTACCTTTCTGATGTTTTTTTTATTTTTTATTTATTTATTTATTTATTTATTTATTTTGTCTCAGAGCTATAGATATCAAATAAACAAATAAAATGTGAGGAAAGATGACATGATATGGTCATTTGTTGTTACCAGACTGGCAGAACTCCTGTATATGATGCAGCATATAAAGGTCATGAAGACATGGTAAAGCTTTTCATAAGGCTGATCATTTGTTGTTTCCAGGGTGGCAGTACTCTTTTACATTGGGCAGAAGATGGAGGCCATGAAGACATCGTGAAGCTTCACCTGGAGCGTGGAGCTGATCCTAATATCACCAATGAGGTTTGTGAAACATACATGTACTGTTGTATAAATTAACGTGGACTTTGTCGGCTGGTTTTATAAACATCAGGAGGGTATACATGCACTTCCACTGTTTTGTCATAAACGATCCATGAGTTTGTTTAATTGATTACTTTTTATCTGGTTATAATGAGTGAATACAATGTAAAGAAAGAAAACATGGGACCGGTGTTACACGTAAACAGTTAGGTGCAAGTTAATCCATTTTCTTTCCTTTCATACATGTACAATATATGAATGACATGTGAAGAAAGACAACATCTTATATTATCATTATGGTGCTTGTTTATTGTTACCAGGGTGGTAGAACCCCATTACATGAGGCAATGCGTCAGGGCCCTGGAGACATCGTGAAGCTTCTCCTGGAGCATGGAGCTGATCCTAATATCACCGATGAGGTTTGTGGCACGTACATGTATTGTTATATAAATAAATTTCCGTGGACTTTGTCGGCTGGTTTGATAAACATCAGGAGGGTATACATGTACTTCCACTGTTTTGTCATAAACTATCCAACAGTTTGTTTAATTGATTACTTTTTATCTGGTTATAATAAGTGCATACAATGTAAAGAAAGAGAACATGGGACCGGTGTTACACGTAAACAGTTAGGTGCAAGTTAATCCATTTTCTTTCCTTACGTACATGTACAATATATGAATGATATGTGAAGAAAGACAACATCGGATGTTATCATTATGGAGATTATTTATTGTTACCAGTGGGGCAGAACACCATTACATGAGGCAGTAGGCCATGGAGACATCGTGAAGCTTCTCCTGGAGCATGGAGCTGATCCTAATATCAAGCATATGGTTTGTGGACACATAATACTATATACACAAAATGCCCTTAGTTGGTTGGTAACATACATGTACACTGGATTTTGCTGAATAGATGATTCATTATACAATGTTTAGAATAATTAATTATTGTTTATTTTATTTTATTATATAATTACCGTTTAAACATTATATATACAATGTAAATACAATGTAAATAAAGTCAGCATAGGACATCATAATGCAAACAGTAAAGTTCGGATTAATATCTCTTTATTTAAGCGCTGTATGGTTTCTTCTTATTTAGGTTATTTGCTCACATTTGCAAAGTTAGGTGCAAATTATTTCCTTTCCTTTCCTTGCATTAATAAATTTCGTTATTAGATTATTTGTTAACATTTTTCCTGTAAGCATTTGACTGCTGATACATTGAGCACTTTAGGCTGTTCTTTGTGAACGTTAGTTAGTCCAACACAGAAATAAATTAAACAAATAAAATGTGAAGACATACAACATGATATGATATCGTTATGCATACATTTATTGATAATTTTTTGTTACCAGGGTGGCAGAACTCCTTTACATCATGCAGCGCATGGGGGCTGTAAAGACATCGTGAAGCTTCTCTTGGAGCGTGGAGCTGATCCTAATATCACGGATAAGGTATATGACACATAATGTTATATGGACAACATACCCTTGGTTTTGTCGGACGGATGACTGGTTGGAGAGATGGTGCAGTGTTTAGAATAATTAATTAAATTTGTTTATTTTCTTTTATTATATAATTACCGTTTAAAAATTATATATACAATGTAAATACAATGTAAATAAAGACAGCATGGGACATCATAATGCAAACAGTAAAGTACGGATTAATATCTCTTTATTTAAGCGCTGTACGGTTTCTCCTTATTTAGGTTATTTGTTCACATTTGCAAAGTAACCATTTCAGTACTGAATGTAAACGTTTATTATTTCATCTCTGTGTTACTTTATCAGCAGACACATACATGTACAATATATGAATGATATGTGAAGAAAGACATCATAGGATATTATCATAATAGAGATTATCTATTGTTACCAGGATGGCAGAACCGCATTACATCGGGCAGCATTTAGAGGCCATGAAGACAACGTAAAGCTGCATTAATAAATTTCGTTATTAGATTATTTGTTAACATTTGTCCTGTAAGCATTTGACTGCTGATACATTGAGCACTTTAGGTTGTTCTATGTGAACGTTAGTTAATCCAACACAGAAATAAATTAAACAAATAAAATGTGAAGACATACAACATGATATGATATCGTTATGCATACATTTATTGTTACCAGGATGGTGAGACGCCTTTATATAAGGCAGTGTATAAAGGACATGAAGGCATCGTGAAGCTTCTCCTGGAGCATAGAGCTGATCCTAATATCACGGATAAGGTAAGTGAGACATAATGTTATATAGACAAAAATGACCTGGAGCAAGGTGGTTGCTTTAACACTTTAAAATTGGTATATATACTTCAGCTTTTTTATTTAAATGAATGATGTTTTACTTTACTCTTATTTGGGTATCATAATAAATTTAATGCAGTATAAATAAAGGCCGCATGGGACGGGACATCACATGCAAACAGCAAAGTATACATAATTATCTCTATATGCAGACGCTAGGATTTCGCTTTTCTTGGATTATTTGGTTATGTTTGCACAGTGCTGAATACAAACTTTTGTTGTTTTATCTCGGTGTTAATCTTATTACACAAATTATATGAATAAAACGTAGAGAAAGGCAATACGATATGATATCATTATACTGATCATTCTTTGTTACCAGGGTGGCAGAACTCCTTTACATCATGCGGCGCATGGGGGCTGTAAAGACATCGTGAAGCTTCTCTTGGAGCGTGGAGCTGATCCAAATATCACGGATAAGGTATATGACACATAATGTTATATGGACAACATACCCTTGGTTTTGTCGGACGGATGAATGGTGCAGTTGAACAATGCTTAGAATAATTGATTAAATTAGTTATTTTTATTTGATTACATTATCATTGTTTATGCATAAAAGGAAAAGTAAGCCAATAGTCGTAACTGCACTGATATACAGACTTGACATTTAATATGGAATATTTCAGTTTCGAATGTATGCCTAGATGAAAATGCGTTTTTTTTTTCACAAACTCCGATCTCATATAAGATATGTGAATGGAGAAGTGTGTAGTCGGGTGTGTCGCTACCAATTAACTGATTAAAAGGTTTGTTGCGCTGCTGCATTATGTTATTTGCAGTGATTTAATTGGGTAGTGCTCCTTTGGGCAGGTCAAAGCTTGGCTTTGGCAAAGCATGGTTCCGTCAAAAAAGTATCCATATGTCGGCAACTACTGCATAGAAGAATTTGAAATTTTGCATGCAAGTGGGCGGGTTTGCAGTGTGTAAGATGAGCCATGCAGTGCTTTACAAGTTTGTTAATCTGTGGCAGAATGGCGCGAAAAGGGCAGGCATTACCAGACAGGTAATTGCGCCAAACGAAACGGTCCACACAGTTTTATAGAGTAATGGCCAAACTGATGTACCCACACAGAGGCCACACCCAATGTATTGAAATCTTACCACCAGGGTACAGGACCCACTGTCTTTCGGGATATGCTGTTGCAACTAAACAAAAACCACCAAGTCCGTTCAGAATGAGGGGTAAATTACCACCAAAATGCATTTTTCAAGGCCCTTAGCGAACACCAAACTGGTTTTAGCAGGTTAGAATACCAAACGACCTCCGAGGAACCCCCCGTAAACAGCAAAACATCGTTGTATGTTTCTCTATTGAATTGGGTACCTTGACTGTTTCTGGGTCGAACACTGAAATCTCGTGGCTTTCTTTATTGAGGTCAGATTTCACCTGTACCGCTCAACTAGTCAAAACAGAGTTTACAGACATCCAGAAGAGGCCATTGACGAAGCGTGTGCCGCTTCTAAAGTGACTAAGGTCATTAACATCGTCAGTATTTGGAGTGGATACCACATTGGTGCCAAAACACCAATGGTAGTCATCGACGAAAACCTGAACCAGATGAAATAAAGAAATAGTCGGGGAAACACTTTGCTTTCATTTGATAGGGGACAACTTAGGAACAATTTTAGGTTGCACGGTGAGATTGCCAGTTCACACAGAGCACTTTTAATAGCAGTTTACTTACAGAACCAAGGGAATAAGCAGCTACCTTGGTCATCAAAATCGCCATATTTGAACCACATAGACAATATGTGGGTAGGCCATTACTCTCCGAATCAATGGCTTACATGTCCTACAACAAAACTGGACCAAACTGGGCAGATTTTGACCGATGCCTGGAATGTTATTCCAGATTGAACTTTAAAAACCTATCCCAAGGAATGCCGTGCCACTTGAGAGCGCTGGTAGCAGCCAGAAGAAGTCAGGCGTAACAGCGACCGTTACTGTGACTAGACACTGACATGAGGGTCCTTTGTGGAGCGTTTAACTCCTTTACAGACAATAATTTGGAAAATATGGAGGTCCAAAATATCCCTTTTAATGGTTGTCGTATGACATAGAATAGGCAATGTGTTTTTGTTTGCTTCTCTGGCGAATTCCATTAATGAACTGATGTCACAATGACATCAAAGAGATAGTTAAAAGTTATTAAAACACGATTTTAATCCTTATTTTCATTTATCAGTCTGCAAAATAGGAAAAAACTGATTAAAAATGATTTTGAAAAAAATATTCCATATTAAATGTCAAGTCTGTATTTAATTTACCAAACATGTACATTATGTTCTCTTTTCACATCATTGGGTTATTTGTTTACAGGTACGCTTGCCACTTGTATTTTCTTGTAGTTTTCTTGTTGGTATTACTTCTACATCACTTATGTTCAAATATTAATATGCCAAATCCTTTTGTCGTGTTTGAATAAAATCTTTAAAAAACATGTATCAATGTGACAAAACAGTGTACATTTTATTGATTTGTAGGATAAACTAAAACCATATGACTTGGCTGTAAAGAGGAACCATGAATACATAAAGATAATGCTGCAGAGATTTTCTTCGCCGTCGATTCAGGTTAGTTTTGTCAAATGACGTGATGATTATTCACTTTAAATCAGGAAGAAGCCTATATGTTATTCCCATTTCTATCATGTCGGGTTATTTGGTTGTCACAATCTTTTTTTTTTTTTTTTCTGGTAACCAACGCGCTCTTCAATCTTTAGAAGGTCCAGTCAATCTTGGTCATTTCAGACTCATCTTCTCCAAAAAGTAATCACTGCAATAAGTGAACAAGTGTACGTGGGAGATATCCGCTTCCTTGCTCGAAAGCAGCTTGGAATACTGAACGCAAAGCTGGAGAACATCAGACGTCAGAATCCAAATGATGCACAGGAGGAAGCATTCCAGATTCTGTGGGAGTGGATGAAAACAAAAACAGGGGTGACAGTTCATAACCTTTTTAAGGCGCTGAAGGACCAACAGTTGAACGAGTGTCTGGGTTAGTAATGTTTAGCATCTGGGTCTATGTTTTGTTTGGACAGATGAGCTTAGACAGACGTGTTTCTTGTTTGTTAAACAGATTGACGAATATAACCATTAGAGAAAATAGATTATCTTTTTCATAGACGTTCTCTTTTTAGCACTTCGATTGTAAGTGTATTATCGAACTATGTCTCTTGGCGCTTATAAAGAATATGATTTGTTAAATTTACAGACCAAGTCAAGAATGAATATATTACCCTAACGGAAGAAATATTGGCCAAGCCGGATGATGAGTTCAAAACATTTTGTTCTTCTCTTGAGTGCACAGACGGTGTAACATTATCTGATATGAAGAAGATAGATACGATATGTTACGTCTCTGATCACATGAGATATTTGGGTTTGCCACTTCAAAGATTCAACGCCAATGCTAAAGGACGTATGGCCGTATTTCGTCTTGAATGGATGGGCAACTACGAAACCCCGGCTACGTCCGATTGAACGGTTGAGCAACAGGGCTGTGTCCAGTTGACCTTGTTCTTTTGAAGTGACGAAGGGTCAGCAAGTCATCGGCGTATTGATTTTAAGATGATAGTGATGAATTTTTATTTCTACAGTGACTGTGTTGAACTATTACTGCTATGATGACTGTGTTGAATTAATGGGCTGTTTAGTACGTGCCACTGTATGACAACAATGCAATTAACACAAAGCTTTTCATGTCTTTGCAGATTAAGGATTATATATTACAGTTTAATTATATTTAGCTGAGAGCTCTGTGTTGCTTTTGTGAATTTTGGTAAGAACTAATGAATTAATGTATTCTAGATACAAATACCCAGGTATATCCTTTTAGGACTGTGCTTCTTTTATTGCGGGAAGGGGTGATTTCAGTTACTTTTACTCTAACTTCGTTTTTCCTTTGCTTGGTATTTGTTGCTTGGTTATTTTTAATTGCACACATGCTACTGAAAACATATCCAGGTGCCTGTATTTGTGCACTAATGTTGGGTAAGGGTATCAATATTATCGTGCACTGTGATAATGTTATTTCAGTCGTAAATGAAATCGTAAATCAACACATGCCATAGTGATGGCTTTAGTCCAGCTAAAAATACCAACATGTTTCATGGTTATTTTGGCACAAGGCGATATGGCATACATGTCATGGCGGCAGTGTCATCTACAAGTCACATTTTCTCGACCGTAGTTTTATCATACCAATATTGCAACATCTGTTGCTTTATAACAACTGAATACAACGTTACCAGTTTTTGATGTTTTGGTCATACATTTTTGAAACCATTCGACTCATTGCTAACGTGAATTGTTTTATGCACAATTCTGTTCATTTGTAATGGGAACATGTATGTCCCTTTGATTTATGTACAATATTAAGTACAAATTATGTATGTATTTTAGTTGTCCTGATTAAACTGAGTGTTCAGATTTTATTTGTACTCATTATACATATATCATCTGTGTAGATGTGATGCTTCTCTAAAATAATATGTGGATGGTTGTGATTTCAGTTTATCGTAAGCTAGGTTTCTTTTCTATATCTTGTGCAAGTTGCTTGTTAAATGAAGTTGCCTACATGTAGTTTTAAATGTTAACGTATCCAGGAGCTTGTTAATGCACTTGTATTGGATTAGTGTGCAAATATATATATCACGCACTGTGGCAATGCTATTTTAGACATGAGTGAGATTAGCCGTGTATTTCACAGTGGATTTAATCAAGCTAAACATACTTACCTGTTTGTCGGGTCACATAGATGTTATGGTAACTGTGTTATCTACAAGTCGCTTTTCTCTTTGGTAGTATCGAAGTGCAAATATTGCATTATCTGGTCTAAAATGACAACTGCAGACAATACCACTGGTACCAGTTATTGATATTCTGATCAGCATGTAGCCCTTTATGATATGCCAGTAAGAAGTCAACCAAAATCATTATATATATATATATATATATATATATATATATATATATATATATATATATATATATATATATATATACCTAATGAAATAAGGAGAAAAAATTGATTTTGTGTGTCATTTTCCACTTCAAATCAAAGTACTTTACATACCAGGGCATATATCCTTAAGAACATCTGTGTGTAAGTACTAACTAAGAGATCATAAGAAGAAAGGATAAGTTTTAAAAATGTAAAACAAATTGACAGAAAAAAGTTGCTTCCTTTGTTTACGCGCTCGCTTGATTCATGTGTTTACTTTTCCAAATGTACTGTCTTTCTATGCAATAAAGTCTGATTTTGTAATTCTACTGACCATACATGTAGTCAGTTTTTTCATCGGGAGACTTATTCAATGGTTCTTTAATGTTTACCGGAGTTGGCACACATCAAGAATTATAGATTTACATGTCATTTGTGGTATAGAACCGATGACGAAAAGGGTTCAGTAACAAAACATAATCATACATACACCAGTGTGTGTAAGTTTATGCAAAAATAATATAATAAATGCAAAAATAAAATAAATAATTGTTCTCCCTCGTTTCCGGGACAACTAACTATGAGAGAAATGTCTGTCACAGTCTTTGTGTGCACATATGGTACTTTTTAAAGAAGGAAGGGCGAAAAAAATATTTGAGAAGGAATCTGTACACTAAAAACGCTTACGCACACAACCCAAGCTTACACCTCGAGAACTCGCGCCAGAATGGAGAAAGGATGAGATCACCCAATGGGCCCAACCTCAAAGATGTGGCGACGGACTGATCAAGATAATTTTACTTCATTTATTTATTTATTTATTTATTTATTTATTATTATTATTATTATTATTATTATTATTATTATTATTATTATTATGCTCTCTTGGTTGTTTTCATGTTGCTGTATACATTGATACTCTTTGGCCTATTAAAAGGCATTCAGATTT